TGGGATTGCTTTGATATATATTTGATATTAGTTATTTCAACAGTGTTTTCTTACTTAACAGACATTATAAGATACCATGAAGAACCGCTCTCTTTCTCTTTGCATTAAAAAGGAGCCATGGGTATGATGAAAGGTTTATAATATAATGTTTTTTGGATACATTAACCGGGTTGACTTAGACTATGTGTCTTTGATCTTGAACATTACAGATCATATCTCCTTGTGCATGAGCTTGATTGGCTTGGTTAAATAATCTCTAAGGGCAGGTAATGTAGCAACCCACTAAAAACCTTTCATGGTCTTAACATAGAAAAAAACCCAACAACAACAAGTGATCTTATAAATCTGTAAAAGACTGATTTTGTGGTGCATTGTGTCTTCTAATGGAGTACTCTAAACCATCTTATGATGTTTTTCTAACCATAACTGAGGCTCTTAGCTCTTCCTCTAGGGCTTTCTCACTGTACTACTTCAAGACTTCATAGCTGGCATCTTTTGATGATACCAAGGCTTTGGGGAACAATAAATGTCTCATAGTTTTACACAACAACTTTGTCACAATCAGATGAGCTAATTAGGCTTGAGCATTGAGATTAGTCATGCAGAGGTTTGGGAGAAGCGAGCGTAGAATAACAGCAACATGGGAACTGACAAAAAATCAGGAAGAAAAAGTTATATCAGCCACAGACGATATATCAGTCTGATGTTACAGCTTCTTTCTATTGAAAAATGCCTAAATATAACACAGCTTATTCATCTGAACAATTAGAAATATCTCCGTTAACTGGAAAAGAAGAATATGATTCACTTTGAAAACCTATTTATATGAGACAATACTGATGAGTACAATTTAATCAAACAAAAATCAAACACCCTTCAAAACCTCCTTTATATATGACTTTAATTTGGGGTAGAAATACATTTTCTGCATAGTGTGATCCAATTTTGCTAGCATAAATTTACATTTCAGTATCAGTGGAAGTGCAAATGAGATGGTGAGAATAGCTCATGATGACAGGAATGTAGGAATATATATCTAATAAAGTATAAACCCAGACAAGGTAACAGTATCTGTCGTGCTGCATTTTAATTTGTGTCTGCAGACTCTAACGTATAATAACTACTTTGAGTTTTAAAAGTTTCTCTGTTCAGCTTGGCCAAAGAAGACTGTATTAGCCCTAAGTGATTAAGGGTATCTTCTTTGTAGAGTCTACTCAGCTTCTGCGGCGATTGCTGCTCATACAAGATTTGGAAAATCTCCTCAAGCTACCAACAAAGTCACAGGAAAGCAAAGTTTAATTCAGCACTTCAACCCGAGGCAAGGCACAGACAAAAATAAATAATCTCTAGGCTACACATATTCTGTGTTATACCAAAAAAGTAGCCTAAAACAAATCTGAATTCTTTAGAAATGCATAGAAAATGTTTTAAATAATTAAACCCCAGAGTTCCTTGGTGCCTGCAAGGAGGATCATAACAGCAGATGAAAACAGCATCGTAATCCTGATCAATTAACTAATATTATGAAATGGAAATAAACTATGGCATCTATAGCAAATATGAGAGAGACTAAACTATAATGACAGCTAGCAGCTATTTCTTTCTACCCGCAGAGACAATGAAAACTGACAACAAATACAATCTTTATTGTAAAAATTGTAGTTGTAAGTAACCAGCCATCCTCCTCCACCTCGTCCCATCTTTAGTTTTCCTACCTGCAGGTTAGGAAGGCCACTGTTGTCATGGCATCTCCAGAGATTCTCTTCTTTCTATGATTTCATGATTTCAGTTAGAAGCAGCAGTCTTTTGTTGCAAGTTGTAGGGATACTCCCACCAGAAACTGCACTTGTAGAAAGGCTACTATGCCAAGCTCCCCAAGGCTGGAGAGCAGAACAAGAACAAGTTGCCCAAGATGGCATAGAGAGTCTGTCTGCGGTCACTGAGAGACGAGGAGACTTACTGAAGAGGCAGCTGGATGACACTGAGGACTATCAAAAGCAACGTGCCACCTGGTTAGCAGTGATTAAAACTATCAAAATAAGACTTTACATAGACTGCTATTAAAGGGCTCACGTTTGCTCACTGTGCAAGCAGATGTTTGACACGTATATCATAAAATCTCACAGATATCAATGATGATGCACTACCTTCTCAATATGACAGCATGCCACGTGTGAGAGCCATTAAAGAGTTACCGTGAAGAAACATTAATTAGCAATCGCCCTGCGCTTTGTGAGTAACGACTGGGGCTTGTACTGGTATGTCAAAATGGCAAGCTCAAACTACAGCCAAGAACCTTAAGGTCATCGCTGTCTCATCAATTTCACCGCCTAAACAGATGGCTCAGTCTTTGAGTGTTTCCTCCAGAGAACCAGTGAAGCTCAGCTTTACAGTCAAGCCCAGAGCGGTGGAGGAAGCAAAAGCCCTAACAGTGAAAGCAAGTACGCTGGGCCAAGGGCAGAGGGAGAACCGAGTGTATTTCAAATTTACCCATGTCCAAAGGTCCAGTTCTCATTAAAATCAATTCCCTTCTTTCAAGTTGGAAGTGAGCAGAGAGTCATGGGTTCAAGATTCGTCAGACCACAGTTAGAGTGCTGGCTTGCTTCCAGCCAGCGAGCTGGAAAGAAGAGCTAATGCCTCTGGAGTTTGCACATACAGGCTGGGCTCCGTGTTAAGCCAGTGTGCAAAAGCACCTCGGGAGCAGTTCAACATGCAGACTGACAGTCAGGATTAGCCTGGGTAACTTCCTGATTTGATCTTTGGCTTTTCAAGTGATTGTCACTTTAAGGATGTTAGCGGGGGGTTTTCACTTAAACCAACGTTCTTGTTGCTCTGAGTGTATTGAATAAAACTGTGGGACACTCATCCTGAAGGACACTAAAAGGGTCGTGAACTGGTTCGCTGAATTGCTTAACATTGAAATGACACCGGGCACCATTTTAAGCATAAAGCATCAATACCTGTGAGTGTTATGTTTTCCTGGATGGATTTCTATCTTAGGCCAGTAATCATACCTTTTAAAACACAATAAAATGGAAAACAAACAAAATATTTCCTCTCAGGGGCAAAGATCTGTGTGGAAGATATTTTTATTTGATTAATTTCCAGCGCAGTATTTGGCTTACTTTGAGCTCTGACAGCTTTGACAGTGTGGAGCCGGCATGTTTAATGCATTTTTTTTTCCAAAGCCGGTGTTTTAATATTCTTTCTTCCTATAAAAAGTTCACGGTTGCCGTGTGTGATTAATGTTCAGACCCTTACATCCCGTGTATTTCTACAAAGGCAGGCGTGTTCCTTGGCTGAAGCTTGATGTAAATTACAGAATGATTCCAAGAGGCGCTGGGGTGGAAATAAACACACTGGCCATATAGTGACGTATGAGGAATGTCAATTGACGCCTGCAGCACACACACCAGATTATCCACTAACACACACACACACACATGCATACACAAAAGAAGTGGTCCAGATAGAGCAGTATGTCAGTGCCTGCTGCAGCTTTGCTAGCACCAGCAGGACTTTCGATAATCCAGCCTTCATCAAGAGAGCGCCCCATTAAAAAGACTTTCTGGCATCTCTCTCTCCCTATTCTTTTTTACACTTCCCGAAATTAAGAATCAGGTGTTTCATTAATGCCACGTAAACATCGCTGACAAACATTCACATTTAAGATTCAGATCAGTGATAGAATGTTTAATTTCCAAGATAAGCAGCATTTAAATTGAACAGATAAGACACACATTGGTTAAACCTTCAGCAGCCAGCTGTGAAGCACAGAAGATATGATCTTTTTACCACATTCTCCATCCTCAGTTTTTACATATTTAATAAGTTCAGACGTCAGTAGCAGAATGAGCCCCTGTGTCTGATTGTTATTGTCCCTTCAAAAGCTCCCCATGCCCTTTGTTCTCTGGTCTTAACCCATGGTCCGAGTGGGCGCTTGTATCTAAATTGCTCTTGGAGATAGTAAAGGGCCAAAATGAGCAGCACAAAGGCAGTCAAGAGAATTGCTAATAATTTATTACAGTGTCTTTTATCTCAGCTCTCTTCGTGCTGCTCACCTCTTGTTCTCTCTATTGTCAGACCCTTTTGTCTTCGGTTCAGTCAAGTGCTGCTCTCTCACTGGCCTGAGAGAGGATTTAAATACAAAGCAGTATCTATTGAATTATCCAGATTTCAGATGTACTGCTGGGCACATCAAATGTTGAAAACCAGCCCAATAGCTGTGATCTATTATGTGCAATCGCTATGAACTGCCAGTGTCACTCCATAAAAGAAATGATTGAATTTCTTTTATTCCACAATTTCTTTCTGTCTATTACCAACAACAGGGGCCACCAAAGACATGGGCAAGATGCTTGGTGGAGAGGAGGAGAAGGATCCTGATGCTCAGAAAAAAGAAGAGGAAAGGCAAGAAGCGCTGAGGCAACAGGAAGAGGAGAGGAAGGCCAAATATGCAAGAATGGAGGCAGAGAGAGAAAACATCCGACAGGGCATCAGGGATAAGGTAAACTTCAATACTAATAGAGCCTCACGAGTTAATCGTGGTCGAAGAGCTCTCATTGTTCTTAAACTGTTATCCAGTCCACGGACTAAACAAACTGCTGTTCAGCTGTTATACAGGGTTACAAACAGGTCTGTTTAGTAGAAATATGCAATGTAAACTTGGGCAGCATGGTTACAGCCTCACAGCAAGAAGGTCGTGAAGTTGTGAGTTCTGCCACCTGTCCGGGGCCTTTCTGTGTGGAGATTGTGTCATTTCTCCGGGTACTCCCCCAGCTTTCTCTCCCAGTCCAAACACATGCAAGTTGTAGGGTTAGGTTAACTGGTGATTCTAAATAGACGTTAGCTGTGAATGTGAGTGTGAACGCTTGCCCGTTCCAGCCTCCGACTGACCCTAAATTGGACAAGGAGAGAATAGAAACAGTGTAAAAAAACAAATATAACTTCTGTAAAACAAAGTGGGATTGGCTTTAGTCGTAGAGAGATGCTGCTTTTGCTTCTCGTATAGTTTTGCTAACATGTCTATAAACCAAGCAGCAAACTCAACATCCCAAAAACTGCATTTCCTCAGGCTTCCTTAAAAACTAGTTGGAGTCGCTGATCTGGACCTTTCTGCTCATTTTATGCTGCTTGAGCTTTTGTAATGAAATTATTTGAGAAATATTTGTTTTTTGTGATGAGGTACAGACTGTCCAGAAGTTTGTGCTTCAGTTTTGGTTTTACTAGTTTGTTAGCTAAAGTCGTCAGTGATATATGTGTCTGTGTTCAGCCCACACAGGGCCATGAATCCAGGCTGCAAACCAGTCTAGGTGGTATTGGCTAATAACTCAACAGTTACCCTTTCTGATCCAAAAACTGCAACATCTGACAGAAAAACATAGTGATAAACATACTGAGGCTTCAAACTGCAGGGTCAGAACCAGAGGGTGAAGTCATGGTGGTTACATCCATCTTTTATACACTGACTGCAATAAATTCAATCTGCTCTAAAAAAAAACCATCTCTTGCATTTTGGTGACTGCTGTTCGAGATCGATCAGCTTCAGGCCCGTCATAAACAGCTCAGCTTCACTCATGGTCACAAAACAGTGCAGCGAGACCATTGCACAAATATAATCAACAGCATCAGCCTCTCTGGCATGGCTCTATAAGGATTCAGCAAGTACTATAAATCAAGCTTTATACTGCAAATTGCACTTTCAAATGAATTAGCTAATGGAGAATGGAGGTTTAAAAAACTGGACTATATATTAGTCCTTCTGTTTTGATTTAAAACTCTGCACTCTTAATTTTATTTTATTTTTTTTAATTACTGCATATAGGTCCTTAAACATATTCCCTTCTGGAGTTCATTTTCAAAGTTCAATAGAAATTCTTGACTTAGTGGCCCTTTTTATGTCAGCAAGATAATTCTGGCTTTGATAATGTATAAATTAATATTTGATTAAGCTGTAATAAGATATGATGATCAAAGTGTCTGCAGCTTGCCGGGAAGGGTTACCATTGACACTGCTAATAATGCATTAGATATTTGACTTGAATGCCCTGAGAGAGACTGAAACTTTTCTATGTGTAGCTCTTATAAAACTATGTTTGGAGTTTGGGGATCAACTCTAAACTCTGCTGAGCCGCAGCACTTTTTCTTCTAGCTCTCTCTGTCTTTTTTGTTTTTTGAAACAATGGTAGAAAAGAGGCAAAAAAGAACAATATGACAGCATATCTTTGGGAAGCGTTTGATTATAGCAAGGTGAGAGGGGCTGACTAAGCACTAAGGGGCTGTTCGTTTCAACTGATGCAAGTCTTTGTCACTGTGGAACAAGTCTAAAAAAGAGAGAGAGACTGAGTGGAAACAGAGGGAGTTATAGAAGAGAGCTACATCAACCAATTACACCAATGTTTGTTTTATTTCTGTCGGAAATTCAGAAGAAATATTTCTTAGGTACTGAAGTAAGATACACCCCTCCACCCAGTCAAAAAATATTTAGTTTCTCGATCTTGCTGAACTTAAACTTTTCTTCATAGTCACATCTTTAAAATAGTCATTGTTGAAGGTATGTATATGAGGATTCCCACATTTTCCAACTGCAGCAGCTTGAGTTGTCACGTCCGGTGTGGCAGACGTGTGGAATTGGAGATAGGACCCAAAATGCGGCAGCTCTGGTGCAGATGAGTGTTTATTTAACAAAAGAAAATACAAACAGCAATGGCGTGGGTGAAGGTGAAACAGGAAAACCTAAACTGGGTAAAACTAACAAAACAAACCAGAAACGAAGATGCAGGGAGGTCCGGGGAAATACATACGGGGAGACCGAGGGGAAACAACACAGACGAACCAGCACGAGGATGAGGTAACACACCCTATAAATACACACGGCAGGAATCAGGGGATGGGAAACAGGAGGGGAACACACCTGGAATACATGACAACTGACGAGGCAGGGGAAACGTAAACAGAACACGCTGGCATAAGACACAGCCCTTCAAAGTAAAACAGGAAACATATACACGTAATGACACAGACTCAGAGACGCGGACTAAACACAGAGACCTACTACACTAAGGAGGGAAGACACCAACCAGAGGGAACACCACTAAACCCTAGAAAATACAAAACCATCAAAAGTACATAACCAAAAACACTGGGTCACCGACCCAGGACCATGACAGGAGTGTTAATATAATTTTGGTATTGAAAGATTTGTGACAGTTTATGAATTGTTACCGGTATATAAAATGTTGTCAGTAAAGCAGTCGACACCGTAAGAGATATCTATGCTCATGTGTACTACTGGGGACACAGGAAAGCATCAGTGCTGAGAGATTACGTCATTCTTTAAAATGGCAACAACATCCACCAACCACTCAACCTCTGACAGTCCGTTTGCAGCCTGGAGGGGCTGAGTGAGTCAAATGTTTGCTAGGGACTGCAGTTTGTGTCCTATATGGAAGTTTCATGTCTTTGTTTTGCTTAATTTTCACTAGGTTTTCTTTTTTCTTTTTGTTTTTAAGACACCTCTTAGTTTAGGACACCAAAAGCATTTAGTTAGGTTTTGGAAAAGATGTTAACTTAACATTAACATTGCATATTACCCAGTGTATGTATGCAAGGGATTGTTTACAAGCAAACACACCTGATGAGCTGTGAGTTTGACCCACCTAAAGATACACAAACATTGTCCTTTAGCATTGATGTCGTTCCTCACCATTTGATGGTTAAGGCTGAGATGTGACAAAACATCAGTATTTGATGCCGTTTCTGAAAATCAGTGGATTTAACTGAACCGAGGAGGAAATGAAAACCTACAATCCAACAGTTCTGAAGGATTCTTCTGTTGGCCTGATCTGAGCCAGTCTAGCCTAAAATAATTTATTGTAATAAAACACAATTTAGTATGCGGTATAATTGAAAAATAATGTCTAAAATCATTGTTTGCTAATCCAAATCAGCCATAAATGTGACTTATAGTCTGTCGCTGCGTTAGTGCTGTGATAGACTGTTGGCCTGTCCAGGGTCGACTCCCACTCTTTCCTTATGATACCTGATTTAGGCCTAAAATTGTCAAAATGTAATAAAGCCCTGGAACATCTTGTAGGTAGCCAGTATTTTTAGACAAAGACATTCTGAGGATAGAGACCAGATCATGTTAGATATAATCTCTGTCATGACTGGCTCCAGAATAACTGCTTCAAGTAAAATAATGAGAAACCAGAAATAACAAGTGCTTTGTCAGTGTGTCCAACTCCGTTGATTCAGCTCTTTGATACATATTTATTTCCAAGATTGTCTTTTCATTTTTTAAACTGTAATCAAGTCTTTGAGGGTCAAACCTCAAAGAGAAAAAAACACAAGATCTTGACAAAAGAGTGGTTTAGTCATGAAGGCAAAAAACAAAAAATATTTAAAGCAACAGTTTTTTTTCAGCTGTTGTTCTCTCAAACAGTCGTACAGCTTCACTCCACAGACATACCCACATTGTTCCTCTCTGCAGTGGAAATGCAACTCCTCCTTTAAGATATTTATTGCCACAGAATCACATTAGTGTGTGCCTGGCAAAGCAGTCAAGAGGTCATGGAGGAGTGCAGCTCATTTTCCCCTTCCCTGCCTCAAGATCAACTATCAATCGGCCCGCTGACCTCCCCGTGCACTGCAACCTTTTCCTTGCAGTCCTCCCGTATTGATTTTTCTCAATCTATGACCACAAATGCACAAAATACACCAAACTGGACACAGATCCTCAGGTTTAATGCAGAAATTGAGGTCAGGATCCTAGTTTCCGTATGGCAACAAATTTAATCTATCCATCTATTCTGAATTCATAAAAGATTCAGGTTCAATTGTGGTGCTTGAACTAACGTGTTGAAATAACGATGAATTATTTCAGCCTGTCTGGACGTGTTTGTTTCATGTTTCATGTCATATTGTCACAGTGTTTGGTTAGTTATGGGGTATATCATAAAATACAAAATCACTTCCATACTATCTTCCATGCAGTTCTTCACAGACATTACAGTATGGCTGTGTCAGTGGACTTACTAGTGGAATGCATTTCCCAGCTGATGTCTTTAATGTTTTAACAAGCTTGTTGTTCTCCAAACATACTCTTGATTTAGTAGTAGTCTTAATAATGGGCTTTTTAAAAGCAAACCTTGTCCAGGACACCTGCCAAGTGCTTCTGTAATTGCTACATAAAATATCCAGGAAGGTTAAATTAGAGCTAGCAGCAGTTCAAGCCTCCATATACACCCACAAAAACATAACCAAAAATAAAACAAGAACCTGAACTTCTTTCTGCATCTAATTGCAGAAATCAGTTGCAACAGGACCTAAAGGTTGCTGTATACATTGTGTTTAACTTAATTTGCGTGTAGCCTCAAGCTAAACCATGCAAATTAAGAAATCTGTTACTTTATAAGAATACTTATTGCTTTCCAATTAACCAGTCACCACCTCCTGGAATTGCTTGAAATATTCATGTCTTTATGTTCCTATATTTAAAAGAAACTGATATTTTAAAGTGAATCCTAGTTTTCTCTGCAAGCTTCGTGACCAGCATTAAAGCAAAAAACAAAAACAAAACAAACAAAAAAGCAATTAACTAGCTTAAGGCCCTGTGTCTACAAATATAATAAATACGTTTTTGGACAGACGCAAATATACTGCTTAATGAAATGTAACAATAAAATTTATTACTCATTCATATTTCTATCCCTAAGTTCTTGACAAAATTAGTTGATCATAATTGGTGAAGAATTTTGGCCTTAACTATGCAGGTTGGTTGGTGAATATTTAATACAAATTTAATAAAACTGCATATTCTAATCCCTTGTCATCAGATACAGCTTTGCTGTCAGATCTTGCTGTCATAGCAGCGATAGATACAAGGTGTCTTTTGAACCCTTCATACTAATATCAGATGCTGAGTGATTTTAGAGCTCCTTCATCGGGTAACAAAGAACAGCACAAATTAGGTAAATAGGATTTGAGGGGGTTGTGGTAGGGAAAGGCTTAAGTTTGTCAGTCAGGACACTGTTCTGTTTAGAAATTTTGGTCATTGCTTTGTTATGTTTAGGCAACACAACTCAACAACAAAGGACACTTTGTGTATCTTGTGAGACTCAAGCAGGTTTGACACATAGTGGAAGTATGTGAATGAGAATGGGGTGTTGTTTCATGCATGAAGCATAGCCCAGGTGCAGGCTGTGTAAAGATGCCCCTGAGACAATCCAGCACATAACAGCAGGGTGCAAGATGCTAGCTGGCAGGGCATACATGGAACGCCATAACCAAGTCGCTGGTATAGTATACAGAAACATCTGTGCCAAGTATGGCCTGGAGGTCAAAATGGGAGACGCCCCTAATGGTGGTGGAGAATGACAGAGCAAGGAATCTGTAGGACTTCCAAATACAGACAGACAAAATGGTGGTGGCTAACCAACCAGACATAGTGGTGGTAGACAAACAGAAAAAGACGGCCGTAGCGATAGATGTAACGGTTCCAAATGACAGCAACATCTGGAAGAAGGAACACGAGAAACTCGAGAAAATCCAAGGGCTCAGAGAACAGCTGGAGAAGATGTGGAGGGTGAAGGTAACAGTGGTCCCAGTGGTAATCGGAGCACTAGGTGCAGTGACTCCCAAGCTAGGCGAGTGGCTCCAGCACATCCTGGGAACAACATCGGGAGATCTCTGTCCAGTAGAGCGCAGTCCTAGGAACAGCTAAGATACTGCGCAAGACCCTCAAGCTCCCAGGCCTCTGGTAGAGGATCCAAGCTTGAAGGATAGACTTTATTCAACTGAAAGAACCATTTTCATCATTGTAACAAAACTGACTATATGAACTTAAAGGAATTATGCTAAAATTCAATTTTTAGTCAACTCATCCATCTAGCCTACCTGTACAGAATTGGTGGTTTTATGGTAACATCCTGCAGGCTTCTGTCTTTGCTTCTGTCTTGATTGCAACATCTAAACTGTGTTCATTTTCTAACTATTTTTTGTTTTTACCCGTTTTCCCTTTTACCGTGCAGTATGGCATCAAGAAGAAGGAGGAGAAGGAAGCCGAGGCAGCAGCTGCTATGGAGCAGGCCTCCGAGGGCAGCCTCACCCGCCCGAAAAAAGCAGTTCCTGCTGGCTGCGGCGATGAGGAGGAAGAAGAGAGCATCGTGGATACGGTCATGAAATTCATCCCTGCACCACTCATGGATATGTTCAATAAAAAGTAACAGCGTTCTGGCAGAAAAATGGTTAACTTCTTACAACGTCCATCTAATCAATGCTGTACCACCCTGCCCCACCTCCAGCTGCAGCCACACCTTTCTTCACCTCCCTCCCACCCAGTCAACTCAACTTCTAAGTGTCCTGGAATTACACAACACGCTGTGATTTTGCCCTTAAGTTCAACTTTCTGATCTCACGGTGATTCATACTTTTTAATATCTCTGACAGAGATCTTTCTTGATAACCTGTGATTATTATCGTGTTTTAAAAAGTATGCAACACCTACAGAGATTGAATGTCTTTACTTAAGGCAAACTGATGGCATGTTTTCAAAATGCCCAGCACTTAGAATACGACCAGATATCACCCATCATCCACCCTTTTTGTTTGTAAATAGCCTCGGTTATATAAAAAGAGTACTATATATCAGTGAAATATGACGTATAACAAGATAACTAAGAGTATAAGCCATATTTTTAACTTGTAAGAAATGATCCAAATCATATCAAATTTAATTGAATCGTCCTGTTATGTTCTTGCTAATATTTGATACATACAGTGTATATATATACTTGCATTTTTATTGGTTCTCCTTGGTTAGGATCAGTCCCACAAACTGTCCCATATGTTCTCACTGTTTTAATGTAAACGTGTAGTACGAACACTGGCAGAGCCAATACATCTGTAAACTCAAAAGTGAAGGAATTCAGTTGAAATGAAACTTTTTTTTTTTGCTTTGTTTTGTTTACTTTTTTAAGCATGCAGTAAAGTTGTGAAGTACATATATGGATACCATTTCCTTTGTTATGATGAAGCAAAATACACTGAAAATTTGAGGCAATAACTGGTTTTCCATTTTTATTTAGTTAACGTCTCATCCACCACCGTGTACAGTAAGCGATAATTGACTTTGTGTCTAAAATGTTCTTCCATGGAGGAAATTATAAATGTTCTCCATAAAGTTTGTCTTAAAAAGAGTAAGATGAAATCCTTAAATTCTATAAAGTCACTGGCTATACATGTTTGAGGCTTAAAAAAAAACAAAGTTCTTTTCCTTCTGTGGTGTTGCGCACTCAGCTTTTTGTAATAGGAAATGTAAACATTTGGCCAGGCTTGTTAATTTTGAATCGTGCTAACACTTTCATCATTTTACTTTTTAAAAAGACACTTCCCAAACACAACTATGTTGTGAATACACTATATGTGAACAGACAGTGACAATAGTGCAATATATTGTTCAAAATGAAGTTGTCTCGTGTCCGTTGGTTTAACTGATGGGAGTCGCGTCCCAAATCAGCAATAACAGACAATCTTCATTGTTGTGTGTTTGAAGTTAATCCTTAATGTTAGTCGATGTTAAAGACGCGAGGGTGGCTACTTACTGTAGCGAGACTTAAGCCTTCATTGGTCAGAGGTATTTACTTAAAACAAGGAAGAGAGAAAGTGGGATGATTCGTTTAATGTTGTGAGAAGTGTTCATCCACATGACATATGGCATCCAGGGTTTGTGTTCAAAGTTACAAACTGCAGGTTTTTACAAGCAGACATTAACAAATCAAAGTCATCCTTGGCATCATGAAAAAATAACATTTACCTGCTGTTTATAGCTTACAGTTTACTCTGCCTTGCAGGTAACTGTAATAGCACAAATTTAAAAACAAATGAGGTTGGAATAAATATATTCTCCTCATGCCTTTTCTTTAAATTTCTCCATCATTCCCAGTGTCTTGTTAAACATTCCAGATATTTCAGACATTCCACCAGACTCGAGCTGGTAACACGCAAACTTAGATTTACACTACACCTCAGTAAATGCCTTTTCAGCCTACAAGTACATCACAATGAATAACTTAAATTTGATGCTGTAACCGCAAAATTAATGGCACTAAAATGTTGCTGCGGAGAGGTTATATTAGCTGCCATTTAGGAAAAGTCCCGCATGAAGTCTAGGGGAAATCATAAATGTGCTTTTTGCAGTGATCAGTTAAATTTTGTGACAAATTTTGTTGGAAAATACTTTTGTGATCCACTTGTGCACAGTAGCCATAGGTAGGTGTTAAATTAGGGTTTTCAAAACCAGCTGTTTCGCCACATTATGACTGTTTTTATTAAGCTAGCTAACCATGAAATGACACTAATTCTGATCTTGTGTATTTCTGTGGCGTAGAGAAAGGGAAATTTAGCTTCTCTCTGTGTTTTGTGAGCTCTGTAATCATGGTGAATATATACATATATACCCTGAATATGTTAAAACAAAATCAAATGGCACAGTGTGGTAAGATCATCTGTAGAGCACATTTATTGAACTTCCTGTGATTTTATAGTACCTGTAAACTGCCTTTGCCAGCCTCTGTTCCTACAGTGTGTTAGCAGCTAGCTAGAAGCCAGTAGATGTTTCATGCACTCAAATCCATCATCACAGCAGTTATTCAGTCAAACCAAAGAATAGTGCTGGTAGTATTAGACCTAGTCAAGGGGTGTCATTCCCATTTAGTTCCTGCATATCTGATTTATTTTAAAATTCTCAGGTATTCTAGTAATGTTTTCATAGACGTTAAACATAATTAGCCTTCACTTAGAGTTTCATTGGGTTCTCGGCTAAAGTATTTTATATTTTCATTGCTAGCAGATTAGCAAGCTTATAGCTACGCTCTTTCTTTATGAGTGAAATATCTCTTTTTTTGGCCCAGATAATAATCTAGAAAGCTACAATTACTGCCCCTGCAAAGGACGACAACACCTTAGCAAACGTCATTAGCGCGTGCATTCCTTCAGGCTATGAGTGAGTGTGCTCTGAAATCAGATCAAGCTTTGCTTCTCATCCACTGACATCATCATGGACTCATTCATCATCATCATCATCATCATCATCTTGTAAATGTCGGTTGATTGCGCTCCAAATGGCTTTTTGATCACTGCCTAAACAAACTGCCCAAGTCATGCGTAATCAATATCCTGTTGTCCAGTAGACTGTGTCGGACACCCAGTCAGTCATTTGTGCCGCTCATACAGCCATTGATAGAATTTAAAAAGCTGCCTGAAAAACATGGCACAAAAAAGGGAAAAAAAAATTCTTTTGATGTGACTTGAATGTAACTGTCTGACGTTTCTCTCTTCTTGCATCTGTCTCTCTCTTTTCTGTACTTGTTGAGAAGATATTTAGTCTGGTGCAGTATGTTTTTCTTTCTTGTCTGTAGCCGGTCCTGTCCTCTGGTGGTTGATATTTTGAGAGAAGAAAAAAAAAAACATGTTCATTTAGTGTATTCTTTTGTACTGCAAAATCTTCTCATCCTCCTCCTCTCTCTTTCTCTCTTTCTCTGTAGCTCCCTATTTGTTGACCAACATGTATGCATGCTTATGGTGTGCGATGTAGGCAAGGTTGTTGATATAATCGTTCTGTGTCCTCTCTGTGTTTCAAAGCTCCACCTGTTAGCCTCAATGCATGCCATTTTAGACTAATATTTCGGTCTGTAACTTTCCTGCAAAAATGGAATCACCGCACACTGAGAATAAAGTGATTTCATATGATTTTTCATCGTCTTGTGTTTCTGCATTCAAACAGTACAGCAGCAAGTCTTTGGCTACCTGTGTGTACAAGAGAAAAAAAAGAAAACAATATATGGAAGGAGTGGTAGAGTGATGTAGTGTGTTTCTGGGAGGCGGGATCATCCCCGCTTTGTGACTCTGAGACGTGGCCTGCCGTCATGGATCATATCCCATTGCATGGCATTCGTTGAGGAAGTATGTGCAAAGACCTTTAATGTATTTCACATGTTACTGTTTGTGTCAGTCAAACCTGTTTTTCATCTCAACATGACTGTTGTGCATTTTTTACTTTTTTTTTTTTTTTCTCAGAAGGAATTTCAACATCTATTCAATAAAAGCGAAAAGGGCTGTAAACAGAATGCAGTTTGTCGTTCAAATCGTGATTGGAGGCAGACCTGACTTGTGATCGTGTCACAGTGAGTACATAGACATCAAAGAGATGCAAATGGCATATCTCTCATAGCAAACTGGTTGCCATAAGTGCATCTGTCATAATGGGTTTACGGGTAACGGCAGACCTTTAACATCAAACAAATCCACTGAAAAGATAATGGAGGAATGCCGAGGAGGGATTAGGGATGGTGCCCGACTTTTGCGCTGGTTTTAATTTGGGAACAGAAAGCAGGCAGAAAGTAAAACCAAATTATTCAATTAATGTGTTTTGACATTTCTGAGTTTACTCCTTATCTCACTATTTTGGATTTCTAATGTTGCTTGCCCACAAGGTTGCAAGCATCACATTTTAGCATTTACTGTTCAAGGCTTGTCATTTATGTACCTCCCACTCATGCATCAGCAAGTTCCACTTGGTAAAGGTATGCTGACATTCTTCATTCTTCTCTGCAGTGCTGCCGTGCGTTTTCAGAAATACACAGCTTTTTTACAAGAATAACAAACACGTTAATGTATCCATAAATAATAGTATTTTCACTTGTGTGATAAATCAGGCAATTTGGATGCATTCTGTTGCACTTCAGAAACCACATGTGGTTTCCAGTGCACATGGGGAAAAATCTTTCTTACTGTCTGTTCCACCAGATGCTGAGCAATTTATGCTCTTCCGGCTCTTCACGCATAGATACCCCCATCACTTGACAGGTTGTTATTATTAGTATTTAAAATGGCATTAACAGCAATATATTAAGATTAACGACTAAATACAACCTTCATATTTTTGAATAAAAAATGGACTAAATGTCTTTTCTAAAGTTACCTGGAGTCATTCACAACACCAAATGAAGCAAAGATGTATTCAAAGCATTTCCTCAAGCTTAACTCAGAGAAACAAGGCTTATGTCAGTTGTGTTTGTACATGAACCCATATATTCTTCTATTTTCACCTGAGTCGAGGCTGCGAAATTACTACTACGCTAACTGAGATCGCTGTTAAAGAAAAGACGGGACAGATTTTCTCTTTCACTTTACATACGTTTTAAAAAGTTTTCAAAATAAATTAAAACACACCCCAAACCACCAACATCTGTCTCTGTGTGTGCCACTATATTCTCACAGTCATTTCCCCAGTGGATTTTCATAACAGCTCTGGACTCTTTAAATCTTGATTGTAGTTGCCTCCTACGATTTCAACCTCCTCACACTTTTGAGCACACAGAAGGGTCTTGGTTCCCCCTCTGCAATAAAAGTCCACAAGTCTCCCTGCAGGAAATGGAGGTATAAATCAATTCCATTAGCATTCATGCACTGAGGCAGCTTTTTCACACCCAGCAGCCTTTGTGCTCTCTGAGCAGCACTTAGGCAGCAGGAGAGCCACAGCTCTATTGGTGTCCTATAGACATGCAACAGTCGATGTCAATTAACTGCTCTCTACTGGGCACTGACTCCTGGCTTTACACCATTCACACTGAAACGGGAATCAGTGTTTTTTTCTCTTTTATAAAAAACTTAATGGGAACATGGACAGAACTGCTGTCGCACTGTTGTGATATAATATATAACTCTATTAACAATAAATCTAAATGACAATAATAGCCAGATAACCTGAGTGATAACCTGAGGCTATCCAAACCTACTTGTCTATATGTGAAAAAGTAAATGTCCAACTAAAGCTAGCATGACTTGATGCTTTTTGTGGTTAACCACAGTTAATTCATGATCTAACAATCCAGGTTTTATAGCTTTTTTCATAATCCCACAATACTGAATGAAGCAAATGAAAAATACTCAGCCATACTGCATTTAGTTCTTTACGTAATATTTATTTACCGTATAGATGCTAAAGCAAATTCTCCCTCCCCTCACCACCAGCTGGTCACGGCTGATGGCCGCCCCTCCCTGAATCTGATTCTGTCGGACGTTTCATCTGGTAAAAGGGAGTTTTTCCTTCACACTGTTGCCGAGTGCGTGCTGACAGGCGGTGCCCGGTTTCTGGGGTTTTCTCAGTATTATTGTAGGGTCTTTACAAGTATTTTAAGGCACCTGCTGTGGTAATTTGGCGCTTTGAATAAAGTTGAAGTGAATTCAGTTTGATTCAGCTGAAATGATTTCATGGAGTGTGACTCTCCAATCTCTGTGGACATAAATCAGAGCTCCAACATTAAAGTGGATTTGTTGTCATTTTACATTTATCAGACCATTAAAAAGTCATCAACAGTTGTTACAGCTCTTTGCCGATCACACGTGTGAGAATAATAACTCTTCAAGATGGATCCTCAGGTCTTCACTGAATGGAAGGAGCGTTATACATGCAGTATGTGCATGTTTGCTGAAAAACTCTGTAGGCTATTGTGAATGGACAGGTCATTTTCCTGGACTGTTTACCAAGAGACTTGTGCCTCGTAATGTCAGAAGAGTGTTTTCAGACTTTAGTTTGTGAGGTTTTACTCATCTTATCTTTATCTTTATCTTTTTAAGTTATTGTTTGGTTAGGTTACAGCAACAGAACTACTTCAGGTTTCTTCTGAAAAGATCTAAGTTTGGTTATATTTACCAGAGAAGAAGCTTTTTAATAACATGGTGAGGCAACATGTGACACTAACAATATCAGTGCATATTTTATGTGCTCTTACTGACCTGCTATTCTGCGTGACGGCGATGCTGTAGGGAATCGTTTTCTGAATCAGATGCCAAAACACATCTGACAGATGAAATGAATAGGTTTTTATTGTATAATTACACAATCTGTACAGGTACAGTCAGTTGTAATAAGCATATTGGAACAAATCATGCTGGGAATACATGAAGCGCTATCCTAAATTGCAACTTACAGGCTTAAAGGATCAGCAGCTGAAGTCCTTGTATGATATCCCAAAGGCCATCAGCTCAGAGATCCTGTAGTCGATGCTTTTGGCAGCAACCAAAATACCAGCAGAATGTTCACCGTTCTTAATTCTCTGGCTCATTGCATAATTTCAAACCCACAATCATTTGATTAACAGCAAGTTGGTGAACCCGTTCCACACACTGACGCCTTACTTTTAAAGAAGCTCTATCTCCTGTAAGTTTAAGTTTATTCTTATAGGTCTGCGAACAACAACAGTACACATGTGTGTGCTTGTGTAGTTTTACAGTGAAACATACAGTAGGACCAACAGTGTGCGTTCAGTGTGGTCATATTTCTACAGAGCAAAACCAAAACACAGAAACAGGAAATCACTCTGAAAAAGGTTTGTGTGTTTTCTCATTCAACTAAATCCAAAATGGACACACTGCTCCAAACAGATAAGCCTGCTGACTCCTCTGATTAGCATATGGTGATTATGTATATGCAAATTAACTCTTGGGAAGTAAATGTGATTCAAGTCTGTGAAAACACCTCACTCTCCATTTTCAGCCCTGTATCCACTGGACTCAGATAGGTATCAGCAGCATCCTGGGGACCCTGTGATTGACAAGTCTACTGACATAAGATTGCAGCAGCCGGCAAAGCTCAGGTGAAGCTATAATAGGTCCATTTAATGAAAAAGTAGCTCAGAGACCTTCCCCACACATATCAGCAACAGACAAGGGAGCTGCGGTTTTTTATCCACCTTGGTGACAAGAGGTCGGACGTATTATAAGGCGTTTAATTTAAGCAGAGGACTCCCAGGGAACAATCTTCCATTTCACTGTGTTAAAAGGAGCAGACAAATGGGCAGAAAAGGATTTAAAAAGTTCAGTTAAAGAGCACTGCTGACCTCAATTAACGAGCATTTCTCCTCCGAGTATGAAGTGCTACATAGCTGACATGCGATGATGCGCAGTCTTTGTCACTGTTCCTCGAAACCTTAAGCGAGTTGCCCTGCATTATCTATAAAACTCCCTCCATCTAAAAACAGAAGAGGGAGACTGGGAATATGAATACTGCATGAACCCCTCAATCAGGATTTGAAGGAGGTAAACAGGATGTTTTCCTCCTTCTATAAATACCACAGCGCTTCAGTAACGTCTCCTTCTGGGAATCTGTCAGTCGGAAGTGCTGCTTCTTCTGTCTCCCAAAAGAAAAATAAAATAAATCAACCAGCATTCACACTGGGATAGCAGCTGTGCTATAGATTCAGCTGATGTGGCTCAGGATTCTCAAACTTTTCTGTTATTCTGTTTTTAGAGCTAAATAAATGTGGTACTACCTGACATAAATTTTTATTAGTGTCAGAGTGTGTAACTGTTTCGCCCTGCCCTTTTTTCTACAATAGAGACACTGTGATGACAGTCCTGCAGGCTTTGACTTTGACTAGGCTGAATATAAAAGATGGACATACTGCAGCCTGCAGCATGATGACAATCATTGGTTTGAGAAGTACTATTATGAAGCCTCTCTTGTTT